ACCACGCTGTTGGGGCAAGTGCTGTTAATAGAGCACATATGAAGGCCAGCACGGCACACGAGGCGGTGAGTGGCCTTTGTCTCCCCAGTCCTAATATTTACACACCGCACCAGTTACTCATTTTAGGCTGAGTCGACCTTCGGCCCAGGATCGGTTGAGATATTTGCCACAGATGTTCGCTGTGACTGGGAGTTGAAACCCAGTTCGTAGCGCTGTCCGTTAGCTACTATACTACAGCTCCCCACAATGTAATGACACGCATAGATTCACAAACGCACACAGACTCGTGCATGCAAAGTGCAACGTTACCAAAGCTAAAGGTTGAAAAAAGAAAGATAGTACAAATAATGGGTAGGTCTACAGTTCCTTGAAAACCCTTTATTTTAAATCAGGTGAAAACCAGGTTATGGTTTGTTTCACCAAATGTTTCTTGGTTTATACATTCTCTCCAAATTCCCAAATCCATTAAAATACCGTTGCCAGACTCCACACCCGCATCGCGTAAACGAGACCACATCACCCGAATACTGTACCTCAAAATCTCCACCAGCTCCCAATCCAACTCCCTGGCTATTTTGAACATCGCACTCATCGTCTTAAAGATCCTGCACGCGATCGCAACCGCCTCCATCTCCACTCTCATTGCACTCTGCTCACCCCCACGCTTTTTCCTATCTCTCCCATCTCATCTCTCTCTAACAACCCCCCGATCCCCTCCCTTTGCTTTCTCCCGTCTCTCCCCTCTCACATCACTCCACTTCCCCACCAAGCACCCTCCTATCTCGCCTCCAATTTCACTCTACTCTATGCCCACGCTCTCTCCCCTCTCATCTCACGAACACCCCCTGCCCGCTTCCCTCCGGGTATGGGTTAAAATCCCCTTCCCGATCCCAGATCCATCCGTGCTCTCGACTCCCTTGCGCACGTTTAAGTCCAAGCCAAGGCTCTCATCTTATCCCGTGCCTACGTCTGTCTCTTCCCGAAACAAACAAATAAAGTACTGTATGTCTATTTGTCCCCGTGATGTGCACGCCCCACTATTTTGTGTCTGGCCCTGAGATACGGTTGCATTTAGACGCTCTATGTACATCAACATTATGCACGTGCGTGTCTTTAAATCAAAACTGAGAAGTGCGCAAAGAAGCATTTGAGAGATGCACTGCTTGGAGACAGACAGACAGGCGATCAGATGATTTGCGAAAATACGCGCGGGCCAATGGCGTCATATAAATTGCGAAGAAAATAAAGTGGACTTGGGCAGGGCACGATCGGAAGAAATAACGACTCGTGGTCACGGGATAATGACCGGAGTGGCAGCCACGGGGGCAGTGAAGATCAGCTCGTGTGCAGCTGCATGGTGGAAATTATTATTTTTGTTGCGTCGCAGACTGGGGCTTTCATCATCCAGCAGTGGATTAACCAAGGCTATTGCTGTTGGACGACGATGTGGCCGAGCGGTTTACGCGTTCGCCCCTTATTCCAGATGTTCACGGTTCGAATGCATCGGACGCCCCGATCATTACTGCGGATGTAACAACTTACAAAAATAGTAATACATTTTCGCGCCGTCTGCTTTACAGTGGACGTTTAACATCCCCGACGTCATTAGCACGAGAACTCAATACCTTTGCTTCTGTGCCGACGTCATTAGCACGAGAACTCAATACCTTTGTTTCTGTGCCGACGTCATTAGCACGAGAACTCAATACCTTTGCTTCTGTGCCGACGTCATTAGCACGAGAACTCAATACCTTTGTTTCTGTGCCGACGTCATTAGCACGAGAACTCAATACCTTTGTTTCTGTGCCGACGTCATTAGCACGAGAACTCAATACCTTTGTTTCTGTGCCGACGTCATTAGCACGAGAACTCAATACCTTTGTTTCTGTGCCGACGTCATTAGCACGAGAACTCAATACCTTTGTTTCTGTGCCGACGTCATTAGCACGAGAACTCAATACCTTTGTTTCTGTGCCGACGTCATTAGCACGAGAACTCAATACCTTTGTTTCTGTGCCGACGTCATTAGCACGAGAACTCAATACCTTTGTTTCTGTGCCGACGTCATTAGCACGAGAACTCAATACCTTTGTTTCTGTGCCGACGTCATTAGCACGAGAACTCAATACCTTGTTTCTGTGCCGACGTCATTAGCACGAGAACTCAATACCTTTGTTTCTGTGCCGACGTCATTAGCACGAGAACTCAATACCTTTGTTTCTGTGCCGACGTCATTAGCACGAGAACTCAATACCTTTGTTTCTGTGCCGACGTCATTAGCACGAGAACTCAATACCTTTGTTTCTGTGCCGACGTCATTAGCACGAGAACTCAATACCTTTGTTTCTGTGCCGACGTCATTAGCACGAGAACTCAATACCTTTGTTTCTGTGCCGACGTCATTAGCACGAGAACTCAATACCTTTGTTTCTGTGCCGACGTCATTAGCACGAGAACTCAATACCTTTGTTTCTGTGCCGACGTCATTAGCACGAGAACTCAATACCTTTGTTTCTGTGCCGACGTCATTAGCACGAGAACTCAATACCTTTGTTTCTGTGCCGACGTCATTAGCACGAGAACTCAATACCTTTGTTTCTGTGCCGACGTCATTAGCACGAGAACTCAATACCTTTGTTTCTGTGCCGACGTCATTAGCACGAGAACTCAATACCTTTGTTTCTGTGCCGACGTCATTAGCACGAGAACTCAATACCTTTGTTTCTGTGCCGACGTCATTAGCACGAGAACTCAATACCTTTGTTTCTGTGCCGACGTCATTAGCACGAGAACTCAATACCTTTGTTTCTGTGCCGACGTCATTAGCACGAGAACTCAATACCTTTGTTTCTGTGCCGACGTCATTAGCACGAGAACTCAATACCTTTGTTTCTGTGCCGACGTCATTAGCACGAGAACTCAATACCTTTGTTTCTGTGCCGACGTCATTAGCACGAGAACTCAATACCTTTGTTTCTGTGCCGACGTCATTAGCACGAGAACTCAATACCTTTGTTTCTGTGCCGACGTCATTAGCACGAGAACTCAATACCTTTGTTTCTGTGCCGACGTCATTAGCACGAGAACTCAATACCTTTGTTTCTGTGCCGACGTCATTAGCACGAGAACTCAATACCTTTGTTTCTGTGCCGACGTCATTAGCACGAGAACTCAATACCTTTGTTTCTGTGCCGACGTCATTAGCACGAGAACTCAATACCTTTGTTTCTGTGCCGACGTCATTAGCACGAGAACTCAATACCTTTGTTTCTGTGCCGACGTCATTAGCACGAGAACTCAATACCTTTGTTTCTGTGCCGACGTCATTAGCACGAGAACTCAATACCTTTGTTTCTGTGCCGACGTCATTAGCACGAGAACTCAATACCTTTGTTTCTGTGCCGACGTCATTAGCACGAGAACTCAATACCTTTGTTTCTGTGCCGACGTCATTAGCACGAGAACTCAATACCTTTGTTTCTGTGCCGACGTCATTAGCACGAGAACTCAATACCTTTGTTTCTGTGCCGACGTCATTAGCACGAGAACTCAATACCTTTGTTTCTGTGCCGACGTCATTAGCACGAGAACTCAATACCTTTGTTTCTGTGCCGACGTCATTAGCACGAGAACTCAATACCTTTGTTTCTGTGCCGACGTCATTAGCACGAGAACTCAATACCTTTGTTTCTGTGCCGACGTCATTAGCACGAGAACTCAATACCTTTGTTTCTGTGCCGACGTCATTAGCACGAGAACTCAATACCTTTGTTTCTGTGCCGACGTCATTAGCACGAGAACTCAATACCTTTGTTTCTGTGCCGACGTCATTAGCACGAGAACTCAATACCTTTGTTTCTGTGCCGACGTCATTAGCACGAGAACTCAATACCTTTGTTTCTGTGCCGACGTCATTAGCACGAGAACTCAATACCTTTGTTTCTGTGCCGACGTCATTAGCACGAGAACTCAATACCTTTGCTTCTGTGCCGACGTCATTAGCACGAGAACTCAATACCTTTGTTTCTGTGCCGACGTCATTAGCACGAGAACTCAATACCTTTGTTTCTGTGCCGACGTCATTAGCACGAGAACTCAATACCTTTGTTTCTGTGCCGGCGTCATTAGCACGAGAACTCAATACCTTTGTTTCTGTGCCGACGTCATTAGCACGAGAACTCAATACCTTTGTTTCTGTGCCGGCGTCATTAGCACGAGAACTCAATACCTTTGTTTCTGTGCCGGCGTCATTAGCACGAGAACTCAATACCTTTGTTTCTGTGCCGACGTCATTAGCACGAGAACTCAATACCTTTGTTTCTGTGCCGGCGTCATTAGCACGAGAACTCAATACCTTTGTTTCTGTGCCGACGTCATTAGCACGAGAACTCAATACCTTTGTTTCTGTGCCGGCGTCATTAGCACGAGAACTCAATACCTTTGTTTCTGTGCCGACGTCATTAGCACGAGAACTCAATACCTTTGTTTCTGTGCCGGCGTCATTAGCACGAGAACTCAATACCTTTGTTTCTGTGCCGACGTCATTAGCACGAGAACTCAATACCTTTGTTTCTGTGCCGACGTCATTAGCACGAGAACTCAATACCTTTGTTTCTGTGCCGACGTCAGGGCCCTAATTTTGTTAAGTTCGAAAATTCCACCGCCAATTACTTATTTGGGACTATTCAGAGCAACAATTAATTATCACTCACCCACCCCTCTCCTCCCTCTACTGGCAGACCAGTGTCCCAAGTAACTTGCAAATGAGGCTATCCTGCTCCCTAGAGTTCTCGCCTGGTCAAACAAAATAAAGGTGAACTCAATGAAATCAAAATCGCGTCTTGTCCTACGAGTCGCGCATTTCCTTGATAAACCACCGCGCGTTTCCCCCTCTCCCCAGCTCCGTCGCGCTCATCACTTCGCCGTCAAGTTCCTTTCGCGTTCTTTTCGCGCCCTTCAAAGTCTCAAGCCCAAACCGACGCTGGCGTGTTCCACCTCACCTGTATGACCACCTTAAGGGTGTCGATGGAGATGACGTTGGTGCACACGTGGATGACAGCCACGTGCTCGTCGACAAACCCGTGCCTCCTCCTCTCCACGAACACCTGCTGACCCATCACCAGTGCCATGGGCAGCGCCAGCAGGAACGAGGTGACCCACACCGCGGCCACGAGCCGACGCGTCCTCCTCGGTGACGCCACGGTCATTGCGCGCAGCGGGTGGCACACGGCCAGGTAGCGCTCCACGCTCAGGCTCGTGATGTTGAGCACCGTTGCGTAGGTGCAGCTGTCGCGCAGGTAGTGGTAGCCGCGGCAGCCCAGGTCGCCGAACGCCCACTGCTCGTGCACCCAGATGAAGTTGTAGAGCTCCACGGGCAAGGCGAGCATGAGCGTGAGCAGGTCGGACGCTGCCATGCTGACGAGGTGGTAGTGCGCCGTGCCGTGCTGCAGGTGCCGTGCGCTCCGCTTGCGCAGCACCACGTAGAGGGTGACCGCGTTGCCCACCGTGCCCACGACGAACAGGGCTACGTAGAGCGCCGTGATGAACGCCTTGGAGCCCAGGCTCGTGCTGATCTCGAGGCTCTGTTGGCCGCTCGAGTTGTCGTGCGCGCTGTCGTTGACGACGATGCCGCCGCTGCTGCTGCTGCTGTGCGCGGATACTGTCGCGGTCGGACGCAGCCCTGCTGCTGCTGCGTGCACTGAATAGTTCATAATCGCTGACTTGGACGCCTCTCTCCTCGACGCTGATTGTGATAGTAATCGTTAAACAAATAGAACACAACGCAAGCTTTGCCCGCGTATAGTTGTGCCCCGCAATTTAGCAGCGGGGTGGTGGAGTGGCCCCTTTTTCGTTTGCTCTGCGGCCGTGTCGCTGATGGGCTGTTGCCGGTTTCACTTTTTAACAACGAATTCGCATTTCAGGCTTCACTCCAAAAGCGACGGGGATTTTCTAGCAACGTTTTTATTTTCCTCCCCGATTCAAAAATGTTTTCCTCGAACGCAACGCGACTCAACAAGATCGTCAGCTAAAATAATAATAATCTTAAAGTGCGGTAATGACTTATTTCTTTCACTCAAAAAAAAAAACCTCGGAATTGCGTGACCCACAAAACGGCGCCCATCAACACAGAAAGAGAGACTTGGACATCTAAGACCGCCGGGGCTGCGGTCGCTGATAATTTAAACTGAAACTGCACGGGAGGGGAGGGGTGTGACGATGTCGAGGCTATAGGCAAAGCAAGGCAATGCAAGCCAGCGGCGGGCTCAACGCGGGTTCGCGTGTTGCAGCAGCCCGCCGTGTCGGAAGGGGAGCTCGTGCGACCAATCCGCTCTCGGGCTGAGCCAAAGCGCTGCCTTTTGTCATGAATGCCGACGAGATGGTGTAAAGCGGTAGCGGCAGCTGTAGCACGCGACACCCGCGAAAATCTCTCGCTCGCTCGCAACTTTTGCTGAGACGCCACTCGAAGCGGTCGCCGAGAATGAGCTCGCAACGGAGTGGTTTGGTCGGCGAGTGAATAATTAAAGATAAAGAGAGAGAGAGGAGGGGAGGTGGGGGAGACATTATTTCAAAGATGCTAACACTGGCGAGAAGCGATATGTTTTAATGCCACTGCATTAAATGTACTTATAGGCAGAGCTAAAAGGTGCCGTTTTTGTGCAGGCGTGTATGCGTAGTTGTAAGGCACATGGTTCATATTTTTGCATGAAAATGAGTTCTATTTCGTGTTTAAAGCAGACTTCGCTTTTCATGCCTGCCCCTCAGAAATTCTGCAGAATAATTTTTTTCGACGAATATATTCACTCTGTTATCTGATTTTTTTGCATATTTAAAAAAAAAATCCAGTCATGTGTTTAAAAACGCATATTTAAGTAGAAATATTGTAGTAAGGAAAAGTCATATAGATCAACACAAATCTATTCATACGTACGTTTTTTTCATAAAATTGACATTATCAAATATATTCCAATATGGGGTTATGATAAAAAAAAGAGCCTATATGTGAAAATAGCATTTCGACGTTTATTCAGTTGCCGTCGTAGTAATATATCGCATATACATGAACAAGACACCAGATAGTAATTTGAAATTACCACTTCTTTAGTTTCACTCGAATTCTTAGAGTATAATTGCGTTATCTTAACAATGAGCTGCACAGATAAGCCACCTAGGAAGAAACAGTTAAGAAAGATTGCGTTTGTGGAATTGGAAATGAGGGGAAGGGTAGTGCTTTCATCTCGGACGCGTAGGCTAATTGAATCCGCACGGGAGGAGTGCTTACATTTCGTGACACATAAAAACAAAGAAAAGACAAGATAATACATGATAAGCTATGTTCTATCCTCTGCTGGATGAAGGCCTGCTTACGTTGTTGCCATACTCACATAATGACACGATGCCATGATCTCTCTTGCTCTCGCACATTAACTGAACCCAAAGCCGTAATTATAACATATTTTGAGAGGGGGGACATCCCCCCAATATTCAAATATGCTCAAAATGCCCCACCCCCCCCCCAATATATTGTTATGAAAAATAGAATTGCTATGCTATGTAAATAAAATAAAAACAATTTGCTCAACCTTGGTCACAATATTTGGACTTGTCTTCATATAAATCAATGGATAGATTTATGTTTATATGATTGTTGTTATGGTTGTACTTGATTAATCCCTAATCTCTGCCATTACATGCAATGAAACAAGAAATTGTAAATAGTTAAAACAGAGCAATGTAATACAATACACTATTAGACATTTTCAAAAATAAATAAAAAAGTCCATCCCATGTGTTAGTTATTTTTAAAAATATTTTAGGCAGGAAATTAGTTTTCAAATTGAGATTTTTTTCCTGGGTTGGGACCCCCAGACACCCTGGAAGATTTGGTCCCCCCCCAATGTTGACTCCAAGGCTACGGCCTTGACTGAAACCATCGCTTCATCTCCCCGGTGGAGCATCATCTCAGGTGTGTTTCCTCCTTGGGCTATCATTTCATCAGCATGCCTGTCCCTTGGGCATCATGCCTTCCAGCGAGTTGTCCAAAGTCTGCTTTTATTAGCAATCGACATGATATTCTTTGGGTCTTTCGGTAAAGCCACGTAGATAGAAAAACTAATAAAATCAAAATCACGACGTTTCTATCGCAACATGAGCAATCGTCTTCAGGTGAAAATAAAGACCGTGAAAAAGAAAGACCCAAAGAATATGAATTCCTGCAGTCATGACAACTTTAAGTCACGATTTCATCGACATGATGTCTATGATTTGCATATGTTCTTTAAGCTCAGTGTAATTATCAACACGCGTCTCTCTATGCTTTGTTGTGTACTTTTCAACTTTTCATTTAAAACTTTTGAGACTGCAGGAATTCATATTTTTGGTTATTTCGGTAAAGTCACGTAGATAGAAAACAAAAATAAAAAGATCAAAATCAAATCAAATAAAAAAAATCTAGATTTTTTTGGCTTTTATTATTTGAAACGTATTTTTATTATTTAATTTTTTAAATTAAAATTTATTATATCTTTTTTTGTTTTCTATCTACGTGACTTTACCGAAATAACCAAGAATATATTTTAACTTTTGTTCCATATTTGTGAGTGTTCACGTATCTGATCCATTCGTCACGTCAGGTAATATGCACTGATTTAGCCAATATGTTCTTGAGGACAACATATACAATTAAATGTTTCTAAAATTCTCAGATCTGCTCTTGGTATCATATTTAATTGTATCATTTTGAACCAAATAATTAGATCAGCCATTAAAATAATACATTAATTTAAATCATTAACCAAGATCAAATAAATTAGGAAGCTAAAATCAAGGTTATGTTGATGCTGTCCGCAAAAGGAAATTCCCGGTGAATAAGAAAAAAATAGCAGTATTTAATTAAATATTGATCTTGGCTGGTGCATAAGAGGTTCAATGAGATGGTGATGATGTTTGATAATGGCCTTTACAGTGTCAGCAGGCGTTAGACACTGTGTTGTTGTGAATATTCAAGAAGACCGTCGCTTTCACTTGCAAGCTAAACATACAAAAACCCAGTTGGAGGCCAATATCTTAGCAATCTCGTCACATTTTTAATAAATAGCAGGCGTGTAAACGCATTACCAGATGAAACCATTGCAGTGTTTTTCAGTTTAGTTTTTCCTGTAAAATCCATGAAAATGAATTGGTATCTAGTAATACATAGGAATGCATATTTAAAACAATGATGCCATTCGCCAGCGTAAGAGCCGTTTTCTAAAATCAGAAAATACCCGTTCGCTGTCAATATACAATGGCCAAGCATAACCTTCAATTGCAAAGCATATAATTATCATTTTCAAATTAACAGCAATGCCCCATGCTTAAGGATTAATAAAGTAAGCAGACTAAATAACATAACAAATAGATATGGGAAAGTCACGTAGATAGGTTCAAAGAAAGCAACCAAAATCTACGACCTTTCGATCGCAACACAAGCGATCGCTTGTGTTGCGATTGAAACGTCGTAGTCACAAACGCTTTAAGTCAAATAGAATATATATATGCATTGAATGCATAAACGCGTGAAGCATATCTTCAATGTGCAGTTGCATTGCACTAATGTCTGCGGAAGAAACTCGAAATACAATTGCCCCAATCAATACATTTATTGATAGTCCTAAAATTCGGAATGCATGCAAAAACACACAAGCACAATGCCATTTTTTGTTAGTTGGTTCACAGTAAGCGTTGATTTGTTGAATTGACACCAGTGAATGTGTTCATCTGCTGTATAAATTTCCTTCACACAGACGCGAGTGTAGACGTTTTCAGGGAAGGTAGTGTTGTGTGGGTGTGCAGGACATCGCCAAACCATCCCCCTCGTCGCAGTAAATGAATGCATTTTCATGTTTAATCAGGGTCCGTGTGCAGCCAACCTCCTACACCTGGGGACCAACGTGATCACAACCATATCTGTGGAAGTGCTACAGCGACAGGTCCGTGCCACACACTTTCCACAAGTCCCCTCCGACCGGACTCAATGGTGGTTTCTCTTCCGTGCTGCTGATGAAGTGGCTGTCTTCTGGCTCGGTAAGACGAGCAGACTATAACATGTTGAACTTAAATTTCGATTTAAAGCTTTCGTGACTGCAGGGATTCATCTTCTTGGTTCTTTCGGTAAAGTCACGTAGAAGGGAAGTAATAAAATAATAAAAATTAAACATAATAAAATAATATGTTTTATTGTAATTATTATGTTTTATTTTTATTATTTGATTACTTCCCTTCTACGTGGCTTTACCGAAAGAACCAAGAAGATGTTGAACTTAATAATAGGGGTTTCCCACTTTTTTTTCTGGCAACAAAACTGAAACCTTTTTACGAGGATTCATGTCTGCATTAACCACAATACTTTCAGTCAAAATGCAAACAAAAACATACTTTGATAATATATAATGCATTGTCCTTGAAACTGATTGGTCCACACCAAGGGACGGCTTTCTTTTGAGCCTCGACCCAATTGGTGCACGACCAGAGGACACCAAAAGGCGTAGAGCTCAAAGACAACGCACTATCAAAGTAATGAGGGCTCATGGTGAGCATCTACATCATTAGACCACCTTTGCCAGTACCAAAATATAATAATAATGTTGTTCCCCTTTTTTTTCTGGCAACAAAACTCAAAACTTTTTACAAGGATTCATGTCTGCATTAACCACAATACTTGCAGTCAAAATGCAAACAAAAACATACTATGATAATATATGCATTGTGCTAAATGCAGACATGAATCCTTGTAAAAGGTTTCAGTTTTGTTGCCAGAAAAAAAGGGGAAAACCCTATTATTATATTTTGGTACTGGCAAAGGAGGTCTAATGATGGAGATATGTTGAACTCATTTCGCACCGTACGTAGCAAACCATGCAAATCGGAGGTGCGGGGGATGGACAGCAAACTAAACGCAAAAAGCAGTTCGAAATAAATTATTTTTTTAATCTATATTTAAAAGCGCATAGCTCCAGTGGCTTCTAATATCAGAAGGAAGAGCGTTCCAGACGGCCGCAGAAATGCATCTGAAAGCAGGCGATGGCTAGCCAAAACCGCTACTCGAATTACCGGAGTTCACGTAATGGTTTTTTGGTTCATTTGTGGCAAGCACTTTGTCTGTAATGAG